CTGGATATAACCTAACGGAATATCTTCAGAACGGCTCCAAATGACACTAATCTCATATGGGTGAGTAGAACATGATGGAATAATGTAAAATCAAGGACCCAATGTAAAAAAAAAATGGTGTTCCCCTTTAACAAAGATCAGAAACATGTTAATCAGTGTCGCCTTCCAGAAACGCTGCATCGTACCTGTGTAGGCATAGATACGATAGTTGGTTTCCACAACAATGAAGCCGGCGTCTTTAGTTCCAGGAACGGAGGCAATGTTGGAGGAGGAGGAGGAAGAGGAGCTGTTTGTGACTCCAGCAGCCAGAGTGATGGCCAGTCTGGTGGGGTAGTACCGCCGGGACTTCCTCTGTGGACACACAGTGGAAGATCTGATGGATGTTCTATCCACAGGAAAACCTTTAAGTTCATCCATCAGGTCCTGTTTGTGACGCTGTGGAGCGGGACCGCCTCATTCATCACATCAAGGAAGGAGAAACCGTCATACTGAAGTATTTATGAACTAAATTTTCCTTATCCTTCTGTTTACGTCAACAGATGATTTCAACCAACTGGGATTAAAACTAAAAGCGAAAATAAAAAGAAGTCCCTGGGTATCTTTAATAGTCTCACCTTCCTCTGAAACACCAGTCCAAACTCCCGGAGGTGCTGCAGGAAAGTGAGCAGAGACTCGCTCATGCCTTCCACCGAGTAATCCTGAAACACACGGTGAAACTACATCAACATGCGTGAGAACGGAGGCTTTAACAGAAGCCATGGTGCTGCGGGCCAGCAGGTTCAACTCTGCTTTGAAGACATTTCATCTTCTCAATGAGGTTCTTTAAGTTAAATGAATTAAATCAGAGGCGTCAGGTAGCAAACTAAAAAATACTTTACTTCAAATTAAATGTTGGCTATCTGTGGTTTACTGCAGTCATTATTTTTTAGACAACTTTTTACTTCAATCGTTATATTTTTTTTAGCAATTATCTTTACTTTCTATTACTTACATTTTAAAAAAGACTCGTTAGTTTTGTTTCATTTAAGCTCATTTTAATTATGGCCTGTTGGTATTTAAAAAATAAATAAAGACCATTAAAATAATTAGTTTCGTCCAGACAATTTCTTTTTTGTGGTTGGACTCGGCATTGCCCCAACTTGTTGCTCACCACACACCAAAATACATAGTTTTTCAAGATGATGCAAAGTTAAATTTGACTCTGTTACCATTAGTTATAAAACTAAGAAAATGAAATCAAAGGAAGTTATCATCCAGAATTACAGAAAAATGTTCCTTTAGTAGGTTAGTGCAAGTAAAGCTCATTTTTTTCCTGCATTACTTTTACTTTTATACTTTAAGTAGTTTTCTCCTC